GCAAGGAGAAAAGAAAGGCTGTGAGCTGAACAACTTGCTTCACGGGGGGGCCAGGTGTTGGGCCCTGAGCCAAAGGCTTTCTTCCTACTGCCTGGGTTAGGATGGAAGGATTTGGGTTTTTGTTGTTGTTTGCTTGCTTGCTTGCTCTGTACCTAAAGACTATGTTTTAACTGGGAGGAGTGGCTGAGCAGCTCCTTAGGGAGCAAAACGGCCTGCAGAACCCGCCAGGCTAGGCAACCTGCTTGTTATCACCCACCAAACAAGCCAAACAGCCCCAGAAGGCAATACAGCATTTGTGAAAGGGGAAAAAAAGAACTCCTTCATGACCAGAGATCCTGGGTTTCTCTGATAAAAAAAATACTTCTTTTAATCCCAAAATTGGGTAACCTGAAATCCACATTTTCCATGATTAAAATGAAACACCACTATATATAGATATATAGATACTACTTCTAGGTTAAATTTAGCAAGTGTATGGGAGGCGTAAGGAGACAGGATAGGGAGTTCTCAGTTCAATAATCAGCACAGGTGATACCTGAATTCCCAGTGCAATCCCCATAAAGGCTAACTCTTCCCCTGTGTGATAGATGCCTGGCAAATCCCATGTCTCAGGGCAGTTGCTGGCTACTTGTAGAGGTCATGAACGGGGATCCTGGTTTTCCCTAACAAAAAAACAATCCCCAATTTTTGGATTAAAAAAGTAGCCAAGTATATATGTGTGTGTGTGTGTGTGGTGTTTCATTTTGATCATGGATTTGGGTTAGATTTTTTAATCCAAAAGTTGGGGATTTTTTTTAATCAGAGAAAACCAGGATCCCTGTTCATGACCCCTACAGGTAACCAGCAACTGCCCTGAGGCATGGGATTTACCAGGCATCTATCACAGGGAAAGAGTTAGCTTTTATGAGGACTGCATTGGGAACTCAGGTATCACCTGTGCTGATTATTGAATTTAGAACTCCCTATCCTGTCTCCTTATGCCTCCCATACACTTGCTAAATTTAACCTGGAAGTAATTCAGGGTTTTTGCCCCCACTATATTGCTTTGAAAGCCATTCCAAATCCTCATGCCTCTGATAGATAGAAACCTTTCAATTTCCAGACTGAATTTATTCATAACTTGCTTGTAGCCATTTGTTCTCGTGCTGATACTGCTCTTTTACCTAAAGAGGTGGTGCAGACAGAAGTGACAATTTTCATGTGATCTGGCCAGAGAAAGCAGTCAATAGCTGTGGCCAGACACAAGTGCACAGCTGCAGACAGCTTTAAAAATGACCAACTGGCGAGAAATCTGACCCTTCATTGCATGAGATACCAGATAAAGACATTTCAAAATGTAACTTGGGTCTGGGGAGCTCCCAGCTTGTTGCTGTTTTCAGAATGGGAGGGGGGAAGGGAGTGGGGGAGTTCAGTCTGGGGGGTTTTCAGCCCTCCTGGAGAGTGTATTGCAGCTCCCCCCCCACCAAGGTGAAGGGGGAGCTGCAATTCACCTACCCCACTCTTCAGCACTGACTGGGAAACCCCAAGAATGAGCTCTCTCTGCTGCCTTTCCCCCTCTCATTCTGAAAACGGTGAGCTGGCAGAGCTGTGACCTTTGCTGTGGGAGCCTGGCTGCAGGCTCCCAGCCCCAGCTAGATCCCCCTCACCCCCTGGAACCACCAGTGAACTTCTGTATGGTCCAGGGTAACGTAACTTAGAACACTTTGCAGAAAATGATCTGAATTACAGTGGGAGCTGCCCTTCTGTCTGCACCCACAGTGCGGACAGCAACATAATAATATCACCACTGAACGAATGCAGCAATAGAAATATTAAGAAATAATCAGAATCTGCTCACAGCCACATTGCCAGTGACTCTCACCACATTACATCAATTTGATGTGGATTTATTTGCAAATGAGCTGACTGTTTTGATGGCTGTAATGTCTCTTTGGAATGAGAACTCTTTTATTTCTGCAGAGCTTCTTCATCACAGGAATGATAAAACACTGCTGGCAACAACCTCCATGGAAGAAGGTTTGTGCATTGACTAATCAAAACCCCCAAGAATCCTGGAAAGATAAGAACTTGTTAAGGGTCACGTGATCCAACACATGGCTGAGCGCAGAGTATAATATTGCCCTGTTTTGCACAGTTGTACTACAGTGCAACAACTTCTTTGCAAGACAGTATTTTCATTGCAAGTGAATACTTTTTTCCAGGCAAAGACTGGTTTCAACAGCCCAGTTCTTTGAGGAACGGGTGCTCTGTGACTCAAAATCACAGCTGGGTTAGGAGTCAGTTGCTCGCTCTGGGAAGGTCTCTATGGCTAAGATAGCTTACTATGCAGTGCCATGTTGTAACACGCAGCACTGCCTCATGAACTGGAAACAACGTAGCAGCCTTTGTGTAGCTCTGAGTCTGGGCAATAACTTCTGTCTCTCAGCTGTGTGCACAGCTATGCTGCTTTGAGTTCAGGGGATAGCATATGTGGAGAAGCGTGGTGAGAGTCAACACAACACCACCTGGCATGGTAAATCAAGCAGGTTTAAATGCAAATCTAGCCCAAGGATGATGAATTAGGGCCTTGTTACATGTTACACTGTGAGCTGCACAAATATTGATTGGCATAAGGGTAACACCTTCCACCTGGGTGGCGTACTGTTGGGAGTGGCCAGTGGTGATGTGTAGGGGTGCACAGGGGAGCATGGGCATCCTTTGAGAGTGCTGGTGCACCCCCTGACAGTGCTCCCCACTTAGGTGACAAGCAGGGGGGCAGGCAGGAGTGCTGGCCAGGGAGTGGGGGTGCCAGGTGAAGTGCTGCTGGCACTTCTGGGAGCGCTGCGCCCCCAGTCGGTGAGACTGGCTGTGTAGGGACCTCCCTGTTGGTGCAATTGGCCATGGGGGAATGCTCCTTCTGGTCGCTGACTGGCTGCTGGGGGGGCACGTGCCCCCCTCACTCAGGTGGCACCAGCCGCCCATAGGAGTGGCCACACTTTAATGAACAGGAGCTGGGTCATATGGATCAAGAAATAATTCTGCTCTGAAGTGGCATAAATTTGAACCACATAACTAGGGCTCTACCCAACTCAAGGTGGCGGCCACCTGATTTTGTGGGCAGATCGCAGTGCTGGCTGCCATTTTTGAGGGCTTATCATGGCTAGGGCCCTTGCATGCCTCTGATTGGCTGAGGGCCCATGGTGGCCCCACCACCCATGACTGATTGGTGGAGAGGGCTTTCCATCGTATCGCCTGGTCCCTTTACCACTGATTGGCTGAGAGGGCTGTCCCTCATCCAGCCCCACTGATGGTTGGTGGAGGGGGGTGCATGACAGGCAGCCCTCAGCTGATCAGCAGTGAGGAATAGGGGTTGCACCCATCCACTGGGGAGCCAGCATTTTATTTTTAGTAAGTTTTTTATCTCCACAGATTTCATGGAAATCACTCCATTTTGCAATTTCTGTGAAATCTGTGTAATCATGACTTGGGTAGGTCCCTACACATAACAGGGGCTTTAAGCCACTTGAAGGTTTTAACACACAGACAAGCTTGGGGTTAAGAGCTCCAGGAGCCACCCAGAAAGAACATGCGACTAGCTCCAGAGTTATACAGTGTCTCCAACAGAGAAACTGAGAATGCCAATATATGGGTGCTTAGGACATTCCCGTAGAAGATCAGAAATGTAAGCCAGGTCTTTAGGGTGGTGTCACAAGTGGTATCACATGTTTAGTTGCAAATCACTGGGATGTAGTGACTTATTAAATTAAATACCTGGGTGTTTAGGAATTAACCTCCCCTGAAAGGGAACAGCTTTTCAAGGCCATAAGGACACTTAACATATGCTAAACTGCATTGAATGTGTGTCTGCTTGTTTTTTAACTGTACTTAGTAAGTGTTATGTTGAATGTGTGATGCCATCCTTATTTTGGGATCTCCCACATCCTAGTTGAACAACTCCCTGGCAAAGTGGTGCTAGGCATGCTCGGTGCACCCATCAGCATGCCCAAGACAGAGAGTAGCACTGGCACTTGCCAGAGAATGGCTGTGTTGTCTCTTGGCACTCTGTGTGCATGGAGCAGGAAGGACACAGCATGGGCTTTTCCATGCCAGTGCTCCCTTGCATGGTCCAATGTGGTATAGGTATACCCAAGGATTCACTGAGCTACTGCTCCAAGCAAATGTCTGGGCTTTGTGGCTGTCAAGACAACACTTTAGCTTTCAGTGTGGTTTTTGTTTTTAAAATTACTTCACTAGTAGCTGGCAACACCAGCTGGGGTACCCCCCACTCTGAGCGTCACTGCCATTACTCTGTGGCTGCCCTATTTTTGTCACGTTTGTTAGACCTCACCCCTAGCTTTGCGTCTGGCGTCTTTGTGTTCGCAGTTACATCAAGCAGGCCCAACCACATAGATGTGAGAACAACCAGAGCAGGAGGTGAGTGGCTGCTTCTGTATTTGCATTCCTTTAAAGACTCTTTTTTAAAGAATATAATAAAAATGTATTATCATTAGAGAGCACTGAGTTAGCTCTTCATCACAGCACCCAAACTATAAGCAAGAGGGAGCATTTAATTGGAACTTCACAAAGCTAAAAACATGGCAAACTGCTGTAACATGCGCAATAAATGCATCCAGGAAAATACAGAGGGTAGGAGCTAGACAAGCATTCAGTGTTACTCCAACTCTGTTCCCACTGCAATCAATGGGAGCCTTATCATGGCTTCAGTGTTGAATTAAATCAATGCTGAACACTTTTCAACATCCCATTTGAAGACAAGCAGGCTTCCTTATATTATAATTTCACAACAGAAAATGCAACCATGATATAAATTTGCAGATGTCAAATGATTAAAAGCAGACAGCAAAAAAGACTACTTGTGAGGATAAACTCAGCATGATGAGGAAGTGATGTCTAATGGTTTGGGAAGAAATTTGACTTCTCTTCCTAGCTTTGTAGCTGACTTTCTGTGCGACTGAAGAGAAGGCACTTGGGCATGCAACTTAGACCTTGCAACAGTTTTGTGACCTATTAAAGTTAGTATGTGTTAGAGATAACCCTTGCCTGAAAAGGAACAACTCTGCAATACCACGAGGGCACTTAACACGTGGCACTATCTACATTTTACAACTTGGCCTTCCTGGTGCGCTCGTCTACACCATGTAGCTATGTGGTCCTCATGTCAGAACAGTGTTTGAGGTACTTCATTAGCAGTGAAAAAGCATCTAGAGCCCAGATATTTGCTTCCCACTTTCTTACAAAATACACTTGTTACTGGGCTCTTGATGTCAAAATGCATTTTAACTTATAAAGAAAAAAAAAATCCAGCTCTGCTCTCGTGAAGTGTTTGCTTCCTGGAAATCTTCTGAGAAAGCTGTGCTCCCCATCTCATAAAAGGCTGTACATGCAGCTTGTTTCCTGCGGGGTTGTTCACACTTCCTGTCTTTGACAGTGACGTCTCCTGAGCCCGATGATGTGGTCCTGAGGACTCCCCAAGCCGGAGGTAAGGATGTTTGTCAGCGTTACTTTTTTCCGCCACAACATCAATGTCTATTTGTACTGTGTGGCAACAGCCCCTCCTTGCTCTGATTGCTTTAGGATCACAGGGAGGGATTTGAGGGGCTTTTCCCAGCTGCCTGCTCCTTCTGTGTGCTTGAGCATATCATTTATCCTCCCTATGCCATGCCTACAAGGTCAGCATGCCAGGGCTGGCAGCATCACCATTAAGTACACCGTGCTGCTCCGCACGGGCTGCCTCCAGAGCTGGAATCCGTGGAACTGCATCCAGGCAGCACTTCATGCGGGCTAATTAACACTGGTGACTGACAGTCAATTAGCCTGCCCCCTTGGCAATTAGCCTGCCTTCAGTGCTGTGCAGGGAAAGCCCCACTGCGGCTGGAATGGGAAGCAAGTCGCGTGCAGCACTGCAGAGTGCTTGAAGGTAGTTCTGGACACAGTAAGTTTTCTGTGGGGGGCATGGCCTTAGTTTCCTTCTCCGTGAAATGGGGCAATTGTATGGACCTTGTCACATGTTACACTTCGAATGCGTTAACTGCACTTAAAACACCAAGGTCTGAGCATTCAAGCAGTAAAAGACGTGCTAAGTGCCATCGATGTATAGCAAAGTTAAGCCTTTTCTGGTGGGGAGTATCTCCAGATCCTATTATCTAGCGTGTTGAAGGAATTTCCAGCTGCTCCACGGAGATTACACAATCAGGAGACTCCAGTGCAGTGCTGAGGCTGAGACCTAAAAACAGCTGTTTGTTGGTCCCAGCCCCCACGGCACACCACAGCCCACGGGAGTCTTCAGTGGCTCTGGAGCTTGGGGTAAGTGTTTTATTTAGATTGCCATAAGCATTACCTTGTGACTGCTGAGAAAACTTTCTAACTTGTAGTAATGCTTACAGTGATCTCAATAAACCAGCTTCTAAGTGTAATGTGTGACACGTCCCTTAATGCTCCGCGGGAGTCTCTGACAAAAGTCGCGGCACAGAGGACAAGCTCTTGTTTGGTTCATTACCATGGTGCTCTGCTTTCTGTGTAGTGATTGCAAGAGAGCAGGAAAGCACCACTGCTACCTTAACGGAGCCAACACAAAAAGGTGAGTGAGTTATTCTTTTGATTTTTCCTGGTCACCACAGGGCCTGGACATGCCACATTTTACAGTGGTATAATGGGTCTTTATACCAGTGTGAAAAAAAAAAACAAGCCTGGGACATGGCCTACTGCCCTGCACCAGTGTAAGTTATTCAGATCTGGTGTACGGTGACCCAGGGAAAAGTCAGGAGTGAAACTAGGCAGGACAGTGTCACACTGGTCTACCTGCAGCTTATCCAAGGGAAGTCGGGTGTTACTTGCACCCTGCCGCCTGGTGACAAGGCTCTGTGCCTGTTTCAAGGACCTGCACCCCTCTGCATGATTTACATTGCTGTGCCACACTGATGTGAATGACAATGATGTGTGTCATGTGTCCAGGCCCACAATGATGCAACTTCTTAAGTGAGTGTTGCATGTCCCTGCTTGAAAATCTACGCACAATGATCAGATTACTGTCTTGCATCACTGGGACAACATGGTGTCATTGGAAATACTGAACAGATCCATTGGTGAAACTAAACCTGCAAATGAGTGACACCAGCATGGCGTTTGGCAGCAAAAGGGCACTTTTGTCTAAGGGATGTAATATTATGACACTGCTGTCTTCAACACAATCGTTTTCATCCTCTTTACTGGGAGACAAAAAATGTGCTCATTTTATAAGGAAGGAGGCAAGTTAAAAACCGTATTTAAACAAAAAACATGACATTGTACTGTAACAAAACCCTAGGTTGTTGGCAGGGTTGCCGACCCTTCAGGATTGCCCTGGAGTCTCCAGGAATTAGATATAAATCCCCAGGAGATGCTGAGAGTCACTTGGGAGACTTGGAAATGACAGGGCATTTATTAAAACTAATATTCAATGTTGAATCCAGTGTATACGGTAGTCCAGTGGGTTTTAAAATGTAATAGCAATGTACATTTGCCTTCCTGACAATGTCTACACACCGTAATCTGTAACTGATAGACGCAAGCACACGGGCATGTTTGCATTGCATGTCATGGGCACGTTGGCGCTCCAGAAACCTCTCAGAATAGATTCAAACAGAATTGTCAGCCCTAGTTGTTGGGGGGCTCCCAGAGACACACCCCAGGGTTGTGTAAGCTTATGGGGCCCCACTCTGCTGAATGGCCACACCCAGGTTATTAGTTTGCCCAGAAACCACAGGCACTTTGGTAAAGTGATGGAAAGCCAAAAGTGTTCACTACAAGGGAGAACAAATGGTACAAAACAGATGTGATAAAGGCTTTGACGACAGAGCATAGAAAATCAAAACTACCACCTCGCTTTCATAAATGTTTCTGTGAAAATCTCCCGGGGCCAACCCCCCCCAGTCCCAGGTCATCCCCTCCACCGGGGACCTCCAAGCCCCTCTCCTCGCAGGGAGCGCCCTCTCTAGTCACTCCCTTGAGAGCGTTTCTGCCTGTAGATCCGTTTCACCGTTTTGTTGCATTTATATTTTACACCTCACTGAACACGAGGTGCAAAACTAAACCAGGCAGTTTCATTTTCTGGAACTTCCTGGCAGGAGTGCAACACGCTGGGATTGCAGCCGCTGCTGGGGAATGGTTCACTCAAGGAAAAGCGCCGGCATTTCTCTGCCCATTTCTCGGCGGGATTTTCAAAGGCGCAAACAGGAGTTCGTTGCCCAGCTCTAATTAGCTACAAAGCCCTTTGGGCTTTTGAAAATCTAAGAATATATTAACATTAGATCTTCAAATACATTCACAGGCCCTTTAGGATCATGTCTTATCTCTTACCTCATGCAATATTTTCATGAACCTGAATGCTCTTGAATGTTTTGCAGTTACTACAGTGAAAGCCACAGACACAGCCCTGGATACAAACAAAGGTATGGACGGCGCAATCCAACACTGGTTTGGGGGACCTCATTCTGGTTTTGATTGGACTTTTATAAGGCCCATAGAAATAGACTGAAATAGATCAGGAATTATCAAGTGACACTGAATAGAGAAAGCAGGAAGAAGAATTTCTTTGCCTCCGTCTTCCTAAGCAGGGACCGGAACAGCCACCCCCCCCTGCTGAGCCCCCCTCAGGCCCCAGGGGAGGCGCACCTAGGCCAAGGGTTAGTGAGGAACTAGTTAGGGAGCTTCTGGAGGGACTGGATGTATTCAAGTCAGCTGGTCCAGACGATCTCCACCCTAGAGTCCTAAAGGAATTGGCTGAGGTCATTGCGGGGCCCCTGGCACGGCTTTAAGAGCACTCGTGGTGCTCTGGTGTGATGCCAGAGGACTGGAAGAGGGCCAGTGTGGTTCCCATTTTCAAAAAGGGTAAGAAGGAGGACCCGGGAAACTATAGGCCAGTTAGTCTTACTTTGATCCTAGGCAAGCTGTTCGAGAAAATTAAGCTGGCACATATCCACAAGGGGCCAGCAGGGGAGATTATGCTTAGGGGCAACCAACACAGGTTCATTAGCGGCAAGTCCTGTCAGACCAACCTGGTGGCCTTCTATGACCAGATCACCAAAACCTTAGATGCAGGGGTAGCAGTGGACATAGTCTTCCTGGACTTTTGGAAGGCCTTCGACACTGTCTCTCACCCCGTTCTC